ATGTAGATAGGTTTGAAACTATAAAACAGAATATAGGTAGGTTTTGAACTATAAAACAGAATATAGGTAGCTTCTGGACAGGTGAACAGAGTGTAGTTAGGTTTTGAACTATTTAACAGAATATAGAGAGGTTTTAAACTATAAAACAGAATATAGGTAGGTTTTAAACTATAAAACAGAATGTAGGTAGGTTTTGAACTATTAAACAGAATATAGGTAGGTTCTGGACTGGTGAACAGAGTGTAGGTAGGTTTTAAATTATAAAACAGAATGTAAGTAGGTTTTGAACTATAAAACAGAATGTAAGTAGGTTTTGAACTATAAAACAGAATGTAGGTAGTTTCTGGACTGGTGAACAGAGTGTAGGTAGGTTTTCAACTACTTAACAGAATAAAGATAGGTTTTAAACTATAAAACAGAATGTAGGTAGGTTTTAAACTATAAAACAGAATATAAGTAGGTTTAAACTATAAAAAAGAATGTAGGTAGGTTCTGGACTGGTGAACAGAATGTAGGTAGGTTTTAAACTATAAAGCAGAATGTAAGTAGGTTTTAAACTATAAAACAGAATGTAAGTAGGTTTTGAACTATAAAACAGAATGTAGGTAGGTTCTGGACCGATGAACAGAATAAAGATAGGTTTGAAACCATAAAACAGAATATGGGTAGGTTTTGAACTATAAAACAGAATATAGGTAGGTTCTGAACTGGTGAACAGAGTGTAGGTAGGTTTTAAACTATAAAACAGAATGTAAGTAGGTTTTGAACTATAAAACAGAATGTAGGTAGGTTCTGGACCGATGAACAGAATGTAGATAGGTTTGAAACTATAAAACAGAATATAGGTAGGTTTTGAACTATAAAACAGAATATAGGTAGGTTCTGGACAGGTGAACAGAGTGTAGTTAGGTTTTGAACTATTTAACAGAATATAGAGAGGTTTTAAACTATAAAACAGAATATAGGTAGGTTTTAAACTATAAAACAGAATGTAGGTAGGTTTTGAACTATTAAACAGAATATAGGTAGGTTCTGGACTGGTGAACAGAGTGTAGGTAGGTTTTAAATTATAAAACAGAATGTAAGTAGGTTTTGAACTATAAAACAGAATGTAAGTAGGTTTTGAACTATAAAACAGAATGTAGGTAGTTTCTGGACTGGTGAACAGAGTGTAGGTAGGTTTTCAACTACTTAACAGAATAAAGATAGGTTTTAAACTATAAAACAGAATGTAGGTAGGTTTTAAACTATAAAACAGAATATAAGTAGGTTTAAACTATAAAAAAGAATGTAGGTAGGTTCTGGACTGGTGAACAGAATGTAGGTAGGTTTTAAACTATAAAGCAGAATGTAAGTAGGTTTTAAACTATAAAACAGAATGTAAGTAGGTTTTGAACTATAAAACAGAATGTAGATAGGTTCTGGACCGATGAACAGAATAAAGATAGGTTTGAAACCATAAAACAGAATATGGGTAGGTTTTGAACTATAAAACAGAATATAGGTAGGTTCTGAACTGGTGAACAGAGTGTAGGTAGGTTTTAAACTATAAAACAGAATGTAAGTAGGTTTTGAACTATAAAACAGAATGTAGGTAGGTTTTAAACTACAAAGCAGAATGTAAGTAGGTTTTAAACTATAAAACAGAATGTAAGTAGGTTTTGAACTATAAAACAGAATGTAGGTAGGTTTTAAACTATAAAGCAGAATGTAAGTAGGTTTTAAACTATAAAACAGAATGTAAGTAGGTTTTGAACTAT